TTTGTGTCAGTAGTAGCCAACTTACATCTCACGAAATCGGTATTGCCAATAAACGCTAGCGGCTAGCTTTCAACAGAATAATTGTAAGCTACGAAATTTTTTTTAATTTAGGGGAAAATATATTTAAAAAAGTCTAAATTACAAGTTCTTCATTCTTTCGAAAGAGAAAAGAGAGAGGTCTTTTATTTCAATCATTTTTATTACGAATGTTATGTATTTGAAAAGTTTCAGAAGTTAAAAAAAAGAAACATAAATTTTAATAAGATTTTAAATAAAATTAAATAAATTCTATGTACATTTAAATTTCTATAATATATGTAAATTGTATTAATTCATTAAATTAATAGAGATATATGATATGCGGTATTAAACAAATTGATTACGTTACATACATATACAAAATTACATATTGCGCCATACAAAATATAAATGATTTTCTATCTCAAATATACATTATATTAATGTTTATTAATTGCAAATATTTTATTTACAAATTTGTTAATTATAAGGAAATTATAAATATCGATGAATTATGCTTTTCTGCGAATTCTCTTGGCATTCTGTTCTGGTGAATAAAATGTAATACACTAAAATAAAAATCCATATTATTTATATATTTTTGGACACATAGTTTTATATAAATATATATATATATGTATATATATGTGTGTTAAAATAATAAAGAAAAAACACACCTGTTGATCTAGAAAGTTCATGAGATTAGGCAACTTGCATTTAAATCCATGTGTTTGCAACATACAACGCAAATGGTCAATATTCACTGGCTCATATTGTAATATTTTATTATGTAAAGCTTTATCAATATTGATTAGTTTCATAAAGGCTTCTGTAATATTCGATGAATTCTCCAGTACCGATGATGACTCGGTTTCGTAAAATTCCATTTCTTTGTTGAGTGTTTCTTTTGTAGGACTTATACTATTATTGCTGTAACAGAGAGATATAATGTCTTTTATTATATCTATATAAAATGTCATATTATGTTAAAAAGATTAATTAGTATTTACATTAATTAGGTTTACCTATCTTGAGAACAAGGTAATTCATTTTCACTGTCTTCTGAATTACTTGATTTTTCCAAACCGTTATCATCCATGTTTCGTTTCTTCAGTGGAGGTTCCTCGTCTTCGTCACTCGAAATTTCAGTGACTTGTTGTCCTATCGTTTTCTCAGGCACTAAAGGATGAAGTTCGTTATAAATGTGCGTTAATAATTTTACAGCCCTGCTACGTTTTTGTACCTTTAATCCATATTTCTTCATTTCTTTCTAAAAATTAATAATTCGCTCATAAGAAAAGAAAATATTTTCAATTATAAAGATTTATCATTTTTAATTAACTTACGTGTAATTCAGGAGTGCTCATATCATTGTAAACAGGCGGAGGTGTAACATCTTTATCAGTTATTTTAGGCGTTTTTGCATTTCCAATATTCTGAATGTAATTACATTGAAATTGTCTGGATATATCTGTAGATGTTGCTCCTTTATTATATAATCTATTTGTGTTAATCTGCCCCTCGGATAAAGATTTCCTTTTAAATTTCTTAACACTTGTAAAATTTTGAGTCAAAGATGTAAAATTATTATCTAAGTTTCCATAATCATTTGCTACTATATCTCTCCCTTTGATATTTTCATGATTATTTTTATCATTGCTTCTGCGTGCACTACTATTATTAAATGTTCTCATACTTGATATGTTAAATGATCGACTCTTCTCCAAAATATGTTGTTTCTCATATTTATCAACATCAACATTTGCAAGATATATATCGTCTTCAAAATCAAAAGAAAAAGTGGCTGACTTTCTTAATTTACAAGCCTCTAATCCTGATACATTTTCGGTACAGAGTTTACCTTGAAGCAAGCTTTCCATATGTAGAATTGGACTGCAGCTTTCATTATTTAAAAAATCTGGACTAGAGGATACCATAATTGGACTTGGAATAGACTCCTTTTTCTGAGCATCATTCAATTCATTAAATTTATATTTTTGTGTCATAGACATTATCTCTGTAGTATTTAACTTATCTGGATTTAATTTTGCGCTATTAATATTTTTTTCTTCTTCCAAGCACGTCGTCATTTCTTTTGAAAATTTGTTAATTTCGAAGAATTGACTGTTATTTTCATTTGTCATATCCTGTTTGTTACTTTCTATTTCTTTTCTAGATTGTTGCAGAGAATGAGACACGATATTTTTACAGTTGGAGTCATTGTTCTCTAAGATATGGCTAACATTGGAAGATATACTTTCAACATCTGAATCTGATGAAACAATTACATCTGCATCTTTTTGTGTCAAAACAGATCGAGTCAAAATTTCATCTTTTTCAGCCTCACTGACATTACTGTCTTCATTGAGGGAATCGGATAATGTACTTTTATTAGATAGATTATTATCCGACTTATTTCTACTAATTGCTCTTCGATACTTTGCTATGCTATTATCCTTGTGATCTCTCATGTATTTAGAATACATAGAAATCTCTTCCTCATTCGTTTCTAAATCAAAGATGGTTTCGCTAAACGATCGATTCATTGTTTCAGTATGTTGTGAACATACTGTTGGTACAGTTGTGATTTGTTCTAAAACGTTTCTCTCATCTGATGAAGTAAAGTTTTGTGTACAATTCGATATATTATTATGGGAAGATTCTGTTATCTTTTCAGATGATAAAGAATCTATATGCGAATTATTAGTTTGTTTAACATCTTCTACATCTTCATTAGAAAGACGAGAATAAAATTCTGGATTTTTAGCAGCATATGACTGCATACGCTGCTCTATTATAGATAATCTACCGGGTTTTTTCTCTGAATCAACTGATTGTTCAACATCATTATCATAAGATTGAAGATTGGAATTATCGTATTTGTCTATACAAAATGGATTCTTATGTTTTATAGGAGATATTTGTACAGAACATTCCATCTCTGTGGCATTTATTAACGCATCCGATTCCGCGTTTTCCTTTTGGATTTCTTCGATAAATAATGTGAGATTACTTTTCTGTTTTATTACCTTTGAAAGATCTTGGCTACATCTTGATTTATTGCTTTGGGAAGTATCAATTAAAAAATTTTTATGCATATCATTGGTAGAACGTTTCAGAGAATTTGATTCGACATCTGGATTAATTTCTATACTTTGTTCCAAATTTTTCAAACAGGTAGATGTACTTTTGTCTAACTCTAAACGTTCTGTATTCTGGGGTTTTGCAGTTGATAATTTTTGACTATAGATATCAACATCTGCATCCTGTTTGAGCAAATTCAGTAATATATGAATATTAGAATCTTCTAAATCTTTAGGGTGTACTGTGGATTTATCACTATGCTTCATCACAAATGTCTCATCAAACATGTCAGGAGATGCACTAGTTTCTCGTATTGCCGGTGTATTGCTCCTGAAATTCATTTCCTCCGATAATTTCAGTGAAGTATCTTTTTCGTCTTGCAAAACGCATAAGTTCTTTGCAAATGCGTAATTATTTTCAAGAAGGTATAAATCATCATTAACACCCCCTTGTAATAGCGTTTTCTGAGAGCATGGAATGTTTTTCACAACATTATGCGTACAATTTGGTGATTTGTTGAAAGATTTATTTAATTTTGAAACATTGAAAGTTGTTTCTATATTTGGATGTACATTTTCTATACTTTTTTCATAAGTATTATAATTAAGTTCTGCTATAGATTTAGATTTCTTTTGACGCAAATAAACAAATAAATCATTTATTTTGTATTTCCTTCCTAAAGCTCTAATACCAGATAAAGTTATCTGAGAATCAAGTATTTTTGAATACTTATCGATTACACCACAATAAACAAATTCTAAAAAGGCCATGGCGACATCATAGTCTGTATCAAGCCAACAAATTTTTTCTTTTGCAGTAGAGAACTCTGTATCATTAGATATTACATCAAGTAAAATATTTGCGCAACGTGTATAAAAAACCAACTTATGCGTCCATATGTGTTTGCTGTTTCTAACGAACACAATAATATCACTTGCAGAACTATCATTTAGTATATTTCTCCAACTTGTAGCTAAATTGTCAAGGAATTGCTTTTCTTTGCAACATATATTAACAATATTTGAAGAAATCGTTAATGCTTCATTAGTGTCCGTTGTTTTTATAACGTCCTGTATTTCTTTTATTTCTTGCATTTGTTCATTATTTAAAGATCTTTCGTTGTTTATGTTTAATTCCATAAGCTTTATAATATTCTTCTCTTCCTATAAAGTACAACACTGTTATTATATCTTTTAAATATATTATTATTATATATAGTGTCCTACAATTTGTGACCGAAATTTTAATAACACACACACACACACATTCCTGACTTAAAAATAAGACAAAAATTCTAATACCAAAATGTCGAGACTATAATAATTTTAAAATCAATTAGTTATACTTATTATATTTATTATATTTATTATTTTTAATATCCTGTAATATTTTTGTTATGTGCGTTACATATGTTATTATTTTCTATGTTTAAATATGATTAGTGAAGTATTTTAACATTATTGTATATGTTATTACTTCAATCTCACATGGGGTGAACATAACATAGGCATATGAACATTCATTTGTGTGATGTCCCTGAACACGCGAAATGTTAGCTCTGTGATTAGTTAACTTTAACCGCTATTAACTTAAAAACTATTATAGTCTCAACATTTTATGGTATTAGGATTTTTTGTCGTATTTTTAAGTCAAGAATGTTATTAAAATTTCGATCACGAATTAAGCTAATAACTTACATTTGATTTCTGTTCTTTCTTTTCTAATGGTATTATTTGAGGCGATAGTTGTTTTACATAAAATATATCTTTAGTTAGAATTAGTTTTGTCCTATCCCACAATGTATTCTCCTTGAAAATAATAATATATGTATAACAATATCTTTATTTTAGACCGTATATGTGAGAAACACAATCAATACTAGAAATTAAAAATGCCTATTACGGTCAAAGAGCTGGATCTTCGTTGC